TAATAATATTTGATTAAACAAATACCTAATAAAAACAAAATAAAATGATAAATAAATTATTGTGTGTTTCATTGCAATTGCTTAGAAGGATTAGAACTGAACTGGGCTAAAAACTTAACATAAATAACCTTACTATAACCGTTAGCTTTATTACTTTAGCCAACTTAAATACCAAATAAATACTAAATAATATATGCATAAATTTTTATATGTAGCTTCCGTTGCTATTATTGCGCTGTTCCAAGTATATTTCCATTTCACTTTTATTTTCCATAAAATATGCATTTTTTATTCCATAATTTATTCAAATCTGTTTAAAACCACATGTGCCATGAAGAGAATCACTCCTTTCGTACTAAGTAATCTACAACAAATTGCTATTAATATGACAAACTTTGTTTATGAAAATGCGTGTATAAATAACTAAACACACGCACACCTGCTTAGTTCCCGGACATACTTCGGTGAAACCCTTACATTGCTATAAATACTAATTTCCGGCCGTAAAATGCTATCATGCATAATACATACTAATTGCGACTGATTGACGTTGTTCCTAACCCGACTCTTACTCGAACCACTACAAACCTCAACTCTCATCAAGCATAATGTTGTTGTAGTTGTGGTAAATGCTTAAGTAATTGCTTCGTAAGCATACACACACACACGCGTGCACTAAAATGTGTAATATAAATACTATGTAGAAATATGCCTGTGTATAAATATAAATTTATATTTTTCTTAACCTTTTATGCTGATAGCAGTGTTTCTGCTTTGCTTCCAGGTACAACAGTGCGTGTACGTGATCGGCATGCAAATGCGTTTGCTTCGGTTCAAACAGCAATAATCGCTCAGACACGTGTATTTCTTATGTAGGTAAGTAGTTTTATGAATATATATGTATATGCTTTGAATTTTTACTTATATATGCTTATATTGCTTATATTTGGGAACTTGTGTTGGCTTTGCGGGCTTTTATCCAGTCAACCACATTTTTGTTGAACAGAATATCGGCTTATGACTGAGTTTTTATTTATAAGACAATTTTAATGAAAAGCAGCAGAATTTATGTTAGGTTGGCGCACATATTTATATGTTTATCTAATAATTTACATAAATCATTTGACTTTAGTATTTACTTTAGTACA